GGGAGGGGAGGGGGAGGGAAGGGGGAGGGGAAGGAGGGTCTAATAACCAGTAACCAGACCTGAGCGACGCCCTGCTAGCAGGCCGTGTGAACAACAGTCCCATTCCACTTTAGTCCTAGAGATAAACAGATCCAGTTGAATGTCTGGGCTAGAAGGAGGCAGTTTATACTTTTCAAAATTATAGCAATCCATTTCTTATTTCATTAGTAGCAAAACAAAGGAAAGCTCAGGAACAAAGAGGGATTTGTTAGGGTATAGATATTCTATACAACAAACAAATAACTGCAAAGCAATATTAAGCCATTTTTTTTAACTTTAGCATGTTATTCCAATGATTGAGAAATGCAGTTAAGGAATAGAAAAGAGTTGAAAAGAAAGCAGAACAGATGAAAGGACAGAGAGAAGGCTGGAAGGGGGCTAGGGGAAAAAGGAGACGAGGAGGGAAGAAAAAATAAAATAGCTTTCTCCCTGTTTCAGTCTTCCTCCTACTTGTGTCCCTCCTAACACTGTAGCTGGATTTTTAAGGTGCAGACTGAAAACCCATGCAAATTAGGAAGCGCATATTACTTCAGTGCAGCCTGGCTAGGAGGGATTGGTAAGGATTAATTCTGACAAAGAAACTGAAACAGAACTAGGAATCATGATCCTGAGTTAAATTTTATCAGCCTGACAAACTAAAATGGAATTTCTAAACAACCCAATCAGTCACTGATGGACATGCCTTCTGAGGATGCCCCAGCATGTGCTGCCCTCCTGCACGCCATCCTCCCAGAATCCTTGGCTGTGACCACACCCGTGCTGCCAGTTGGCCGGTAGACTCTTCAAAGGGAAAGAGCTTCCTCCACTGCTCTGTGTGTGCGTTTCCATGATGCCCAGGTCTGTGCTTAATATTTACGTGCTGATAACTGATTTGAGGCCCACGGTGAAGCTTTGACTCAGGATCATCAGCACACAGATTTCACCACGTCAGTGCTTGGTGACAAAAAGCTCTCTCTTGGAATTTCTCAGAATCACGGAGGCATGAGCCCTGAAATACTTCCAGTGCAAGTTCATGGGCACCCACATTGGAATATGCACTTCTTACGTGTACTTGTGCTGGAAAATATTTAGTGCTATCTATTCTGTTAGAATTATAATTTTACTTATTTTCATCACTAATTTTTACAGATGAGAAGTAAGGACCTTGACATTAATTTTCATTGAAATACTTTGGAAATTCTCATTGAAATTCACTTAATATGTGAATTTAGATCTTTAGAGAAGAACATAGATGTGAAAAACAAAATCAATTCATAAGACATGTAGGAGGTGGTGAGCGAAGGGAAATATTTAAACAATACTTTCCAAAAGTGAAGTATTTGCTGCAACACAGCCGGTCATACAGCTAGAGAACAAGAGTGTAGGGACCCGCCACCCAGACCCAGATTTCTGGCCAGGCAGAGGTAGGAGAAGAAAAAGACCTCATGCATTAAGAGCAGCTTCCCCACACACACTTCCCAGACAGCTTCTAGGATACACAAAGCACACACACACTCTTTTTGTTTGCTTCTTCAACTGTACACATTTTAAGTTTTAATTTAGACTTCAGTGAACCTGGTTGCAAACATTAAATTTGGCTGTTGGGCAGGTCTGATTGCCTTGGTTATAAAACCCATCCATTGTGAAAACTACTGCAGGAGCCTAATGTTCCCTCAGAGTTCCCGCATAGGCCTTGGACAACACAGTGGGGTCGGAGCAGGATTGGCCACAGGGCCTAGCTTCGCGAGAAAGCAGGCTTGGCTGCTGCTGGCTTGCTTAAAGCTAGGTTGCAAACCAGAATGTGTGGGCGGCTGTCTTCCGGCTTCTAGGAGTCCGACAGGGCCTCTCTGCCCTTGGTGCTGAGCAGTCCTCCTGGATGTGCTTTGCTCTCGAGGGTTCATCTACAGAGGCCGGCTATCTTCCTTGCTGCCCGAGAGGCTGTGGGAAGTACACAAGGGGGCTCATGGGAGGCTGTCCAGCTGGAAGCGCTGCTGCTGGAGGGAACTAAGGTTGTTCTCATAGGGTCCAGTTGGTTCTTTTGAGAGTGAGTTGTGAAGCAGCCCTGAGCCCCAATCCCTCTCTGACTTCCTGTTTGCCCAAGTGAGCTCTCCCTCTGGCTCCTGCCATGAGGCCTTCACTAGAGCCAACCTGATACAAGCACTAGCCCTTGAACGATAAGCTAAATAAACATCTGTCCCATAACACAGCCTGGCTGAGGTGTCTCATCACAGGGAGCAGTACACTTCTTACCTCACACTGGTCAGAGAACCCTTCCCACATGAGGGCTGCTGAAACCCACTTCCTCCGGGAAGCCTTCCCTGATGTCCTCGAAGTAGGCCAAGAGCTCTCTAAAAGTTCCCTGTTCTTGCTTTTCATAGTACTGACTCCAGCAATCCTGGCCCTACCACAAAAAAAGAGAACAGAACAGAAAAAAGAAAGAAAGAAAAACACTGTTCTTCTTTTCTGAATTTCAGTGCTGAGCTGCAGTAAAAAGCACCTGGTCACTTTCACATAGTCATACACGCACAAGTCAGTCCACTTTGCCAGCATGCCTAGATTTTATATGACCAGATAACAGAAATCAGTGGGAAACGCTTCCCACAGTTCCCTCATCCCCAACAGTTTGTTCTTTCAGAAGCGCTATGTGTGCTGGGTGAGTTTATGCCTACGTAGCCACACGTGCTACAAAGCGTTAAGACTTGGTGCTCAATGACTAAGGTCGGCACAGTGGAGCCGAGGCTGGGAGCGTGGAGCCCCTCAGCTGGTAACGCAGCACAGTGTGGGTCATCAAGAGAGTCAGCTTGTTCCAGGACTAAAAGAAACATTTCTGCTTTGTGTGACTACACATACTGCTATCAGAAACAGTAACGTTTTCACTGTCTCTGTTTTTCCTTTTTATTCATTGAGGGGCTTTTTGGTTTGCCTGTTGTTGTATGTTTATGGTACTGGGTGTTGAACTCAAGGCCTTCAAACTAAACTACATCCCTAGCCCTTTCTCTTTTTTCTTTTGAGACAGGGTCTCACTAACTTGCATAGTCTAGATTCAAACCTGTGATTCCCCAGCCCCGCCTCCCAGAGCTTCCGGCACAACACAGCTTATGTTGGTTCAGTGGCAAGCCTGCTTTTCTGTGTGCTATTGGTACTAGCTGTTTTGTTTTTCTGCTTTGATTCCGTTCTTCTGGGGCGCAGACTCAGGGTGCCCTACCACTGATCTGCATCCCCCGCACTTTATTTTTTTATTTTGAGATGTGGTCTTGCTCAAGCAGGACTCAGACTTGCAAGCCTCTTGCCTCAGCCCCCCTCAGCAGTAGGGCACTCACTGGTTACCCATCACAAGGGAAGCAAATCAGCTTAAACATAAATAACGCAACGCTGGTGTTTTCTGACTGTATTCCCAAGGTCAGGGTCCACGTGGGCTGCCCGACGGCTCCACTTTCCCACTCAGGAGGCTGCAGTCAAGGTTCAGGGGTAAAGCAGCTTCCGGCTCCTGTTGGCTGGCTTCAGCTTCCTGAAGCTGCAGAAGGGGGCCTGGGGTCGTTGCTGGCAGCAGAACTGGCTCGGCCCAGAGGCCGGCGGCTTCTCTGCCCCTGGCTGCTCGATCCCAGGCCCACAGTAGCAGCAGCGGGCTGGAGCGCGGTCGACCCAGAAGCTCTCGGGGCCCCAGCTCTGCGGCGTCTGCCTCGCTTCTGGCGCAGACCCTTCTGAGTCTCTGTACCCGCCAGCTAACCCAGCCATCGCCCTTTGCTGAAATCCACTGAGTGGCGTCTGAAAAGTCCTCGCAGAGCAGTGTCTAGGTTAGTTTTGGATTAAGTAATCAGAGAGCCAGACTCTGGGGATATTTTAGGAATTCTGCCAACCACTTGTGTGGGCCCTCAGACTATAAACAGGAAGGGGTTTTCCTAGCCACGTGTTAAGAAGCTTCGCAATATAATTTTGAGATTCTATATTCTGCATATTCAATGTTATCTATTAACAAAACATTTAGAACTAGGAACTGAGATAGTTCAAAACTCTGATAAAAATGTACTTTAATCAGTAAGTATATTGTTTTATGTGACATCACTTTATAATTTGTAAATGTACTAAATGAACTGGATGATCAGAAACATACATGAATAATATTAATCAAATTAGAATGGCAAATTATACATGTTTGTATTAAATTATTTTCAGAGAACTATGTGCCTCTGACAATTACAGAAATATCATTCATTCCCTTTGATGATATATTTTAAAGTGAATGTGAGAATTTATGCAAACATCATACATTTCTTTTGCTGGCTTTCTTTTCTTTTTCCTTTTTTTTTCATTTTAGTACAGGGGATACAGGGTCTACAGGGACTCACTACATAGATCATACTTGTAGTGATCTGCCTGTGTTCAGCCTCCCAAGCGCTGGGATCACCATGCCCCGTCTTAATCGCCATCTCAGCACGCCCCAGGGGAAGACCGGCATGGCACGCGGGATCACACTGTGGCCACCGTGCTCTATCTAAACAGGTTCTTCAGTCCACTGAGCTATCTGGCCAGCCCTTTTTAAATTCTTTGTCTTTTTCTTTTCTTTTTCTTTCTTTCTTTTTTTTTTTTTTTTGCGTTTTTTGCTTTTAATCATCAATAAAATTGTCTAAAAAAATTCCATCATGATTGAAATTTATATCAGTTTAGACAAGCAGCATTAGATAC